GCCCCTCTTCCTTTTGCCTTCCATTTCCCAGCATAATTGTCTTCTCTAGGCTTTCCTGTCTCCTCATGATGTGGCCAAAGTACTTCAACTTTGTCTCTAGTATCTTTCCCTCCAGTGAGCAGTCGGGCACTTTATTTCCTGGAGGATGGACTGGTTGGATCTTCTCGCAGTCCAAGGCACTCTCAGCACTTTCCTCCAACACCACAGCTCAAAAGCATCGATCTTCCTTCGCTCAGCCTTCCCTAAGGTCCAGCTCTCACATCCGTAGGTGACCACAGGGAATACCATGGCTTTGACTAGGCGGATCTTTGTTGCCAGTCTGATGTCTCTACTCTTTACTATTTTATCGAGATTGGACATTGCTCTCCTCCCAAGAAGTAAGCGTCTTCTGATTTCCTGGCCACAGTCTGCATCTGCAGTAATCTTTGCACCTAGAAATACAAAGTCTGTCACGGCCTCCACATTTTCTCCCTCTATTTTCCAGTTGTCAATCATTCTTGTTGCCATAATCTTGGTTTTTTTGATGTTTAGCTGCAACCCAGCTTTTGCGCTTTCTTCTTTCACCTTGATTAGAAGGCTCCTCAGCTCCTCCTCGCTTTCGGCCATCAGAGTGGTGTCATCTGCATATCTGAGGTTGTTAATGTTTCTTCCAGCAATTTTCACCCCAGCTTTGCATTCATCAAGCCCCACACATCGCATGATGTGTTCTGCATACAAGTTAAAAAGGTTGGGTGAGAGTATGCAGCCTTGCCGTACGCCTTTCCCAATCTTGAACCAGTCTGTTGTTCCGTGGTCAGTTCTGACTGTTGCTACTTGGTCCTTGTACAGATTCCTCAGGAGAGAGACAAGGTGGCTTGGGATGCCCATCCCACTAAGAACTTGCCACAATTTATTATGATCCACACAGTCAAAGGCTTTAGAATAGTAAATGAAGCAGAAGTAGATGTTTTTCTGAAACTCCCTGCCTTTCTCCATTATCCAGCGGATATTGGCAATTTGGTCTCTCGTTCCTCTACCTTTTCTAAACCCAGCTTGAACATCTGGCAACTCTCGCTCCATGTATTGCTGGAGTCTTCCTTGCAGGATCTTGAGCATTATCAATCACTGTAGTGACCACAAAAGGCTTTTATGAACCACAATGAGACCAAAAAATACAGTAAAATCAATTACTAAATTACGGGGATCGGCCTGGTGCAGTGGTTTCGGCCCTGGACTACGTTGGAGACCAGGGTTCAACTATGGAAACTCTTTGGGTGACTTCAGATGAGTCACAATCTCTTAGCCTCAGAGGAAGGCAAAACTAAATCCCATATAAACAAACCCGGCTGAGAAAACCACACATTTCTGAAAAGGCTTGGTTTTTTATGGAGACAACAGAAGGACAACCAGCATGGAGCGGTGGTTTGAGTGTCAGGACTCCAACTCTGAAGGCCAGGATTCGAATGCCTGCAGGACCATGGAAGCCCACGGGGTGACTTTGGATGACTCACATCCTCAGAGGAAGGTTCTTTTGAACAAATTCTGCCAAGAAAACCCCATAATAGGGTCTCTACTGGCCTGAAACAACTTGAAGGCACACATCCTCAAATAAATAAATAAATAAAGTATCATAGGATCATAGAGTTGAGAGGGGCCTCAAGGACCCCTCCCCAGTGCAACATCATTTTGCCAGAAAAGGAAAGCACAATCAAAGCACTCCAGACAGATGGCCATCCTGCCTCCATTTCAAAACTTCCAGAGAAGGAAGGACATTCCACCAGACTCCCAGGCAGCAATGTATTCCATTAGAGTTGGGAGGAACTCACAGAGGCCATCCTGCCAAATCTCATACTGTCACACGGAAGAAACAATAGCAGAATAGGATCATAGAGTTGGGAGGGCCCCCAAGGACCCACAGTGCAACCCCATTCTGCCAGAAAGGAAGGCACATTCAAAGCACTCCAGACAGATGGCCATCCAGCCTCTGTTTCAAAACCTCCAGAGAAGGAGACTTCACCATACTCCAAGGCAGCACATAAATATAAGGAATTAAATAAGACTGTCCTCATAATTGAACAATTATAATAAGTATAGCAAGAGTGGTAAACTGTTTGGGGGGGGGGGAGAAGATGGGGAAAAGACGTAAAACGGGATACAGCAGTGTTTCTCAACCTGGGGGTCGGGACTCCTGGAGGGGTCATGAGGGGATGTCAGAGGGGTCGCCAAAGACCATAAGAAAACACAGTATTTTCTGTTGGTCGTGAGGGTTCTATGGCCCAATTCACTGGTGTGGTTCAGAATGCTCTTTGATTGTGGGTGAACTATAAATCCCAGCAACTAAAACTCCCAAATGACAAAATCAACACCACCAACCCCAACCCCAACAGTACTCAAATTTGGGCGTATCGGGTATTTGGGCAAAATTGGTCCAGTGAATGAAAATACATCCTGGATATCAGATTCATAACAGTAGCAAAATTATGGTTATGAAGTAGCAATGAAAATAATTTTATGATTGGGGGTCACCACAACATGAGGAACTGTATTAAGGGGTCACAGCATTAGGAAGGTTGAGAAACACTGGGATATAGGATAATGAAAAAAAAATAATGAAATGAATACTTTTGAGAACCTTAGACAGATGATAACCAAGAGAAAATGACTATGTGCTCGAACATACTGAGATATAAATATTTAATAGTATTCCTGTACGAAGAAGTAAAGAGAAGTCAAGGGTCGAGGTTTTTGGGAGAAAATGGGGAGCTGGTGGGATTGGGGTAAAATTGTATTTTGATTGTTGAATTTCGAAGATTGCATGCCTCTATGTATGTATTTATAATGTGTAACATTCACACTTGCCTCCAACAGACAAGAGTTCTTTCTCCCACCGTGGACATGCCAGAGATATATAAACCTCACTTGCCTAGTTTGCAACAGACCTCACAAACTCTGAGGATGCCTGCCATAGATGCAGACAAAACGTCAGGACAGAAGGCTTCTGGAACATGGCCAAACAGCCTGGAAAACTCATAGCAACCCAGTGATTCCAGCCATGAAAGCCTTCGACATTTTGACCTGAAAAATTTTGGGGGTGGTTTAAACCCCTCAATCTCTCCCTTGGCTACGGGCTTGTCCCAGATCCACCTCATAGTAGTGTTGCATTGCTTTCTCCTGGATGGTGTTTTCTCTTTAAAGGGAGAGACAGAGAGAAAGAGAGTGAAAGAGGGTGGAGCCCTCCTCGCTCCAAGCCCAAACTTTCCATCCAAGTTTAGAAAAACTGAGTGGAGTCGAAATGGGCTGAAGAATGGGCATTTAACCCTTCAGATTTCCACCTCAGAGCAGGAAGTCCTGCATTAGAGGAAAGGATGAACAAAAAGGAGACAGAAAAGGTGGGGAAGCGCCCCTTCGGTCCCCTGTTATTGTGTCTAATTTACCTCCAGCTTTCACCCCCTTTGGAATCAAAAACCCGTTATCCTCAAGGCCTGTTGTTCTGTCCCTCAGAGGATACAACTAAAGTTTCTTAAAACACACACACATACATACATATAGATATACATACACACACACGCACAAACACATATGTAAGTTTTTAAATAGTAAATAATTACTTGTTCTGAGATATATAAATGATATATATCTGAGAGATATAAAACATACACATATAATATTATTTATATATATATATAATAAATTTATATAATATGCATATATAATACACATATTATATAGATATATATTATATAGATATTTGTTTACTATTTAAGTCTTTAAATAGTAAATAATGACCTGTTCTGAGAGGTATAAATATTTATCTGGAAGATAGAAAACATATATATGTGTGTGTGTGTAATATAATATTAATATATAATAGAATATGCATATTACATAGATATATGTACATATATAAGTCTTTAAATAGTAAATAATGACCTGTTCTGAGAGATATAAATATATATCTGGAAGATAGAAAACATATATATGTGTGTGTGTAATATATTAATATATAATAGAATATACATATTACATAGATATATGTACATATAAGTCTTTAAATAGTAAATAATGACCTGTTCTGAGAGATATAAATATATATCTGGAAGATATTATATATATAATTGAATGTAATATAAACATATAATAGAATATACATATTATATAGACATATGTACATATAAGTCTTTAAATAGTAAATAATGACCTATTCTGAGAGATATAGATATATATCTGGAAGATAGAAAACATATATGTGTGTGTGTAATATAATATTAATATATAACAGAATATACATATTATATAGATATATGTACATATACGTCTTTCAATAGTAAATAATGACCTGTTCTGAGAGATATAAATATATAGCTGGATTTTATATATATATATATATATATATATATATATATATATATATATAAATCCAGCTATATATTTATATCTCTCAGAACAGGTCATTATTTACTATTGAAAGACGTATATGTACATATATCTATATATATTATTATATATATAATATATATATTATATAGATATATGTACATTTAAGTCTTTACATAGTTAATAATGACCTGATATAAAACATATATATATATACATATATGTAATATAATATACATATATGGTAGAATATACATATTATATAGATACATGTACATATATAAGTCTTTTAATAGGAAATAATTGCCTGTTCTGAGATATAAATATATATCTGGGAGATATTATATATATAATTTCATGTAATATACACATATAATTGCCTGTTCTGAGAGATATAAATATATATCTGGGAGATATAAAACATATATATACATATATGTAATATACTATTAATATATAATAGAATTTACATATTATATAGATATATGTACTTATATAAGTCTTTCAATAGTAAATAATGGCCTGTTCTGAGAGATATAAATATATATCTGGGAGATATAGAACATATATATATAATTAATATAATATAATATACATATTACATAGATATATAGTCATATATAAGTTTTGAACTAGTAAATACTGACCTGTTGTGGGAGAGAGAGAGAGAGAAAGCAGGGAATCTTCCTCCTCACGCGAAAGCAGCAGCAGCAACTCCCCAACTCCTGAGAGAACTACCGGTCGCCGCGAGGGAAAAAAATAAATAAAACTAAAAAGGGCTCGCGCTAGGCTCCGCCCACTTTCGCGCGCCACCAACCGTCACTCGGAGGGAGGGAAGGGAGGGAGGGAGAGAGCGCGCGCCCGTGCGCATGCGTCCTCCCCTTTTCCCCGGCGCGCGCGCTCAGCTGTTGCTGCTGCTGCTGCTGCTATTGCGAAAACTTTTTGGGGCGCGTGCGCATTTCGCTCCCATTCTCTCTCTTTCTCTCTCTCTCTCTCTAGGGGGCGTGGCTATCTCCTCGTCCAATCAATAGCGGTGGAAATACGGCGTCCCTTTCTTTCTTTCTTTTTTTTGTCTGAAAGGGGCGTGGCTTCTCTCCGTCCAATCAAAATCGCGACGAGGCGGGCACCACAAAGTAGGCATATTCCTCAATCTCCCCGAAGGGGGCGTGGCTTCTCTCCGTCCAATCAGCGGCCTCCGAAATCGCGAGGAGGCGGGCCCCACAAAGTAGGCATATTCCTCAATCTCTCCGAAGGGGGCGTGGCTTCTCGATGTCCAATCCGCGCCTTCCGAGGACTCTACTACTCTCATTTCCCGGCATGCGTCGCGCTCATGGACCGTTCAGTGAGGGAAAGCAGAGACGCATCACACCTTCCAATTGACGGAATCCTTCCGCCGTCGGAAATGAGTCCGCTTCAACCTTTGGTGTTTTGGACTCAAAAAAGGGCGGATTTGGTGCCCAAAGGCGCGCCTTTCGCTCTGGACAGACAAAGAGACGCTTATCCCGCTGTTAGTGCGGGAATTTATGGGAGGAGGGGGAAAGGGAGGCGGAAGGATATGGGGAAAGGAGAGCGGTGATGCGCCCGTGTTGTGTTTTGAGTGGGGAGAGGAAGGAAGGAAGCGGAAGAGAGTGAGGATGAATGAAGGTGGCTGAGTTGGGGTGAAGGGTGCCCTCCCATACAAAGCCCAGCTCTTCTGTGCCAGGTTAGTTATTGATGTGCGGGAGGAGAAGGAAAACAAACGGACACAGGCCGAGGTGGCGTGCCAGAAGGCGGGGGAAGGGCCCGTGAGGCCTACAAGGCCTCATTTCCATTCAGAATCAGTGAAGACATTCCAGAAAGAAAAAGAGACCTGGGGACGCAGTGTGAGAAGCAATAATAATACCTAGCATGAATAATAAATACCAATAGCATCAACTTCAAATTAGACCAGACATGGGCAAACTTTGGCCCTCCCTCCAGGTGTTTTGGACTACAACTCCCACCATTCCTAACAGCTGGTAGGCCCATGTTTGCCAATGCCTGGTCTACACACTGACCTAACATTGATTATGAGCCCAGCACTCAACTGAAGTGGCTGAGGGGGGAAAAGAAGGGTCCTGAGGCTGTTAGGAATGGTGGGGGTTGAAGTCCAAAACATCTGGAAGGCCCAAGTTTGCCTACGCCTGGTCTACACACTGACCTAACATTGGCTATGGGCCCAGCACTCAGCTTAAGTGGCAGAGGGGGAAAAGAAGGGTCCTGAGGTTGTTAGGAATGGTGGGAGTTGAAGTCCAAAACACCTGGAAGGCCCAAGTTTGCCCATGCCTGGTCTACACACTGACCTAACATTGGTTATGGGCCCAGCACTAAGCTTAAGCAGCTGAGGGGGAAAAGGAAAGGGCCTGAGGCTGTAAGGAATGGTGGGAGTTGGAGTACAAAACTTCTGGAGGACCCAAGTTTGCCCATGCCTGGTCTACACACTGACCTAATGTTGGTTATGGGCCCAGCACTCAACTGAAGTGGCTGAGGGGGGAAAAGAAGGGTCCTGAGGCTGTTAGGAATGGTGGGGGTTGAAGTCCAAAACATCTGGAAGGCCCAAGTTTGCCTACGCCTGGTCTACACACTGAACTAACATTGGCTATGGGCCCAGCACTCAATTGAAGTGGCTGAGGGGAAAAAAAGAAGGGTCCTGAGGCTGTTAGGAATGGTGGGAGTTAAAGTCCAAAACACCTGGAAGGGCCAAGTTTGCCTACGCTTGGTTTACACACTGACTTAACATTGGTTATGGGCCCAGCACTCAACTGAAGGGGCTGAGGGGGGGAAAGAAGGGTCCTGAGGTTGTTAGGAATGGTGGGAGTTGAAGTCCAAAACATCTGGAAGGCCCAAGTTTGCCCACGCCTGGTCTACACACTGACCTAACATTGGTTATGGGCCCAGCACTCAGCTTAAGTGGCTGAGGGGGAAAAGAAGGGAAAAGAATGGTGCTGAGGCTATTAGGAATGGTGGGAGTTGAAGTCCAAAACATCTGGAGGGCCCAACTTTGCCCATGCCTGGTCTACACACTGACCTAACATTGCTTTTGGGTCCAGCACTCAGCTTAAGTGGCTGAGGGGTAAAAGAAGGCCCAAGTTTGCCCACGCCTGGTCTACACACTGACCTAACATTGGTTATGGGCCCAGCACTCAGCTTAAGTGGCTGAGGGGGAAAAGAAGGGAAAAGAATGGTGCTGAGGCTATTAGGAATGGTGGGAGTTGAAGTCCAAAACATCTGGAGGGCCCAACTTTGCCCATGCCTGGTCTACACACTGATTTAGGCTATCCGGATATCGCTTCTCTAATTCTGACCTGCGTTACACAACAAGCATTGAGTCCCAGATATACTTTTGCCCTATGCTCTTGTTATATCCCCACATAGAGTACTGCAATGTGCTCTACATGGGGTTGCCTTTGAAGACTGCTCAGAAGCTTCAAGTACTCCAATGATATAGGAGCCCCCCGGTGGTGCAATGAGTTAAACCCTTGCGCTGGCAGGACTGAAGACCAACAGGTTGGAGGTTTGAATCTGGGGAGAGTGCGGATGAGCCCCTCAGTCAGCTCCAGCTCCTCATGTCGGGACATGAGAGAAGCCTCTCACAAGGATGGTAAAACATCAAAACATCTGGGCATTTTTGCAGTCAGCCAATTCTCTTACACCAGAAACGACTTGCAGTTTCTCAAGTTGCTCCTGACACAGAAAAAAAGCAGCCAGATTGCTTTTTGGTGGACAGGGAGCATGCAACCCCCCTGCTGCGTTAAACGCTCCATTGGCTGCCAATTTGCTGCCGAGCACAATTCAAAGTGCTGGCTTTAGCCTATAAAGTCCCAAATGGTTCTGGCCCAGCTTACCTTTCCAAATGTTTCTCCCCTATAGATCACCTCGAACACTAAGATCTTCTGGGGAGATCCATACCCCCCTTTTTTAATGTTGAGTGCTAGGCCCAGAACCAATGTTAGATCAGTGTGTAGACCAGGCATGGGCAAACTTGAGCCTTCCAGGTGTTTTGGACTTGTAAGCCGCATCTTGAAAATGGCCCGGAAATTTCAATTGGTCCAACCCCATAAATTTCATTGGGTCTTATTAGGCAAAGAATCCTGAGAGAAGGTTTGCCGGTTCCTTCCTCTGAAATATAGCCTAAATCACTGGCTAGTTGTTGGCGAACTTCTTTCCCAAACAGGACTCACCTTCCTTAGCTGCCAAAATAATACAGGATCTGGAGTTTTCAGGGTATTTAGATATCCTAAGATGGAGACAATCCTTTTGTTCAGCATAGTCTCGTATTGTTATTGACTAGCATTGACTGTCCAGGTTTCATCTATCTTCTTCCCATGCATTCTTTCTGATATCACATTGAATTTTGGAGCTTCTAAATGCAAAACATGTTATTTGCCACTGAGCCACGATCTTCCTTCTTATTCCTTTCCAATTAATGTCTCCTTTATTTGTGTTGTGGTGCTAAGCTTCTAAACTTGAAGCAGGAGATCTGTTCAGAGCCTTCAAATATTCGAGATTGCAAAATTGGGGTCAGATGAGGAGGAGAAAGCTGAGTCTTCCACAATGATGAGCTTTCATCAGATGTAACTAAATGCTGGCAAAGCAGAGTTGGATGCTGAAACCTATTTTGACACCGGTACTGGGATTGTATTTTTGTGGATTTCTCCAATTTAGACAGCTTATTTCTCTTACTAATTCCCTCGGCTTTCTTTCAAATCCTTAGGTCCCCAATGGTATGCCAGTTTCTTGTTTCACAAAGCTGTTTATCCATGATTTGCTTTTTTTAGCATGGTATCAGTAAAATGCAAGACTAATTTTTATTTTGGACTGGCAGATTTGAGTATCCTTGCTGTAAGGAGCAGTGGTGGTAATAGCAAGCTGTGGGAAGCCATTTCCCTCCTGTCCTGGACTAATTCCATTGATCCTTTAGAGACTTGAAATCATGTTCTTAAAATGCATGAATGTTTGTGAGAACACTCCAGGTCAATCTGAACTAAGTCAGGGATTAGTGTAGGATTGTGAGAATCCTCCCATGGATGCGCTTTAAAAGAGTGTAAATAATTCACCTTTGAACTACTGCTTAGTAATGTGGTCTTGCTCAAAAAAAGATGACTTTGCTCCGTGATCTTGGGAATTCTTCACTTTAAGGGTCAAGTGGGGAGCTTCATCAGAAATGTGAGGATAGAAGCAGAGGGGATATTACATGTATTGCTTTGTAAGTGGTCTTCTATAAGATATTTGATTTTTTTTAAAATTTTGGGGCAGTGAATGTGTCATTTTGATTCCTCAAATTCTCAGATAGATCCTTTGAAACAGTTGCCTTTAAACCAGTGATTCTTAATCTGTGGACTGTGGCCCACCAGTGGCCCGCCAGGATAAAAATCTGGTCTGCGAGCCTCTTTCCTCTTTATATATATATTTATTAATTATATTTTATTTATTTTATTTTGTGCTGCCTGCCGTTCCTTCCCTGTCGCTGACCATGGCAAATGTTCTGTATCAGAAACTTGAGCTGATGTGGTCTATCCAATGCAATTTTCTGAATCAGTACCCCCAAAATGAATATAGAGTTGACCAAAAACTGATTCATAACCCTTTTGGTACTAATGTTGGAGAGTGGTCCCTGGTCAAGTAGTCCCTGGTAAAGTGGTTTCTGGCCAAAGTGGTATATGTTCTGTATCAGAAACTAGAGCTGATGTGGTCTATCCAATGCAATTTTCTGAATCAGTACCCCCAAAATGAATATAGCATTGACCAAAAACTGTTTCGTAAACCTTTTAGTACTAAGTGGTCAAGTGGTCTCTGGTCAAAGTGGTATATGTTCTGTATCAGAAACTAGAGCTGATGTGGTCTATCTAATGCAGTTTTCTGAATCAGCACCCCCAAAATGAATCTAAAGTTGACCAAAAACTGATTCGTAACCTTTTTGGTACTAATGTTGGAGAGTGGTCCCTGGTCAAGTAGTCCCTGGTAAAAATCGTCCCTGGTAAAGTGGCCCCTGGTCAGAGTGGAATATGTTCTGTATCAGAAACTAGAGCTGATGTGGTCTATCTAATGCAATTTTCTGAATCGGCACCCCCAAAATGAATCTAAACTTGACCAAAAACTGATTCGTAATCCTTTTGGTACTAATGTTGGAGAGTGGTCCCTGGTCAAGTAGTCCCTGGTAAAAATGGTTCCTGGGAAAGTGGTCCCTGGTCAAAGTGGTATATGTTCTGTATCAGAAACTAGAGCTGATGTGGTCTATCCAATGCAATTTTCTGAATCGGTACCCCCAAAATGAATCTAAAGTTGGTCAAAAACTGATTTGTAACTCTTTTGGTAAATGTTGGAGAGTGGTCCCTGGTAAAGTCGTCTCTGGTCAAAGTTGTATATGTTCTGTATCAGAAACTAGAGCTGATGTGGTCTATCTAATGCAATTTTCTGAATCAGCATCCCCAAAATGAATCTAAAGTTGACCAAAACTGATTCGTAACCCTTTTGGTACTAATGTTGGAGAGTGGTCCCTGGTCAAGTGGTCCTTGGTAAGTGGTCAAGTGGTCTCTGGTCAAAGTGGTATATGTTCTGTATCAGAAACTAGAGCTGATGTGGTCTATCTAATGCAGTTTTCTGAATCAGCACCCCCAAAATGAATCTAAAGTTGACCAAAAACTGATTCGTAACCTTTTTGGTACTAATGTTGGAGAGTGGTCC